TTGAACGTCTTCACAATGTTGACCTCGCTTATATGTCTACTTTTATGTCAAAGTTGCGTTCAGATTTTAAAACAACAAAATATGTAATGTTTTTATTTTATCAAAGATAAAATTATTTATAATTTCTCTCACTTGATTAACTATGAATGACAACAAAACATCAATGTTTTTATATCAAATAATATAGAACCTATGCAACTTGGCTGCGCCAAATTAATAAATACGTTTTCTTCCTCTCGGAAACAATTATGAAGACTAATATCACAACAATTAACGATTCCGATTTTCGTCGAAGGGAAGATGGTTGTGAAACTCATTAGAATAACAATATAACTCATTATCTGTGTTGGTCAACGTTTTATATTCATAAATCTGCTCCTTCACCGTCACGTGCGTGTTGTGTTTTTGCCCAACTAACCAATAGCAATGTTTTAGGAAAGTTACCTATCCGTGACTCGAACAATAGGGTAAATTGGAAATTGCTATTGGTGCATTTGACAAAAATACAATTCACACGTGACGGCGAAGGACCAGATTCATGAATAAACGTTGATTAACATAGATAATGAGTTATATTGTTATTCTAATGAGTTTAATAATCATAGCCATCTTGTCCATGCTCCTAGTGTATATCACACAACTAAAGCCATTTCGTACTATGCTATACGTTTATTTCACTTATTTAAATAAGCTTCAATTCAGTATGCAACTATTGTTCCCGTTTGATCAATGTTTATCACTGTTTAATTTACGACTTTACGTTTCAAAACTCAAGAATTTTGAATCTTGTTAAATTCACCATTCAATGAACGTGGAGTCGCAGTCCCCACTCCGTGCTTTGGCCCTTGATTCAATTTAAATGCGGGCGAAAAATACCCAGTACAATCACCATGCAACACAGTATGTGGTACCGGGTAACCCTTGTCGGAACACCACGCCTCGAAGCATCGTTGAATTGGCTCGGAATCCTCGCGTGATTTCGCGTACACGCGCACATAACGCTCATGAAACTTTTGTGGAAGAATCTGACTGACTTGATCCTTGCGAACTTTAAGAGGTTGGTAGGATTTATTATAAAACACAACCGCGTCAACTGGATCTTTATCTCCCATTCCAAAATGGATGTTAACAATCGATACAAATATTTGCTCCGCTTTTAATTTTAAAGCTCCTGAAATTGATGCTAATTCATTGGCAATCTCACTTTCACTCGGGCAATCCGTCTCGGAACCCGGCTGTGTCTGGCCACAAAACTTATACAATTCTCGTCGCTGGATTTTCAGTAATAACTCTTGTGCTTCGAGCACTCTCGAGTCGGCACTTTCATTTCTTAAAATATCATACATAATGCTATCCGTCAAGACCGTGTATCGTTTCATATCAGTAACGCTTTCAGAAATACGGAAGATTTTATCGACTTTTAGGAATGCTTTGAGAAGCAGGTCATGAATCGGCGCTTGCGTTTTGTGTTGATAAACTCGGTGGTGTAGCGACCAACGGGTATGAAACAACTCGTAGAGATTAAACACCTCCTTTTCACGGACGCATATTTGTAGTCGGTCATCTATGGGCAGGATTCGTACGTTTTCAAAGTAGCGGCGATAATCGAAGTTGCTGCTAACGCCCACATTAGCGCAGTCGCGCGCAAAATAGTCAAATTTATCGCAATCGATGCCAGTGCGTTTATTTGAGACGATTTCGTAAAGGAACCATTTAGGTTTGCCTGTCCAACGGCAGATTCGTGTCACCGTGTCATTTTCTGGGTCTTTGCCTAAAATAAGATGAAGATAGATAAGTGTAATAATATTCCAGGGTTGGTTGTACGAAGACCGGATAGCCCTTTCCATAGGATTGAGATTTTTTCAGCCGTTGTAAAATGCTTGAAAAGTTATACAACTACCGATATGGATCTCCCAATTTATAAAACGAAACTTTAACTTAAAATAGTAAAGTTTAATTATCCAGGTTAAGCCAATCAAGGACTAGTTTAATGGGTTAAACTAGTCCAGGCAAAGGACCTTCGCTCGAAACGTCGAAATTCTCCTTATATTTTTTAGCTTGTTCATTAAACTATATCTGGTCTACTGCATATAAGGACTATAGACCCATTGCACATGACGTCACAGCGCCGGTGACGATGCATCTGGAGGACAAATTAGCAATCTATGCATAATATAACTTCTGTAAACAAAGCAAATTTTGTAAAACTTTATAATAATTTTGTTTTAAAATGGTTAAATTTTGCGCTGTATGTGGTCGTTGTACCAAAACAGATATTGTTAGGGAGCATCTGGAGGACACTCTAAGGATTTGTGACGTCAGTGCAATGGGTCTATACTATGTTTCTTGTCCTCGTAACTGCCAGTTGACACTATCAAAGTTTCTGTGATCACAGTAGGAATTCTACATGGGTAAATTCTAAGTTTTGAAGCATTTGTAAGAAATGTTTGAGACAACTCAGTGTTAAACACAGGGACGCCGGAACTGGGGGGCAGGGGGGGGGCAGCTGCCCCCCTTGCCTTTTGCTAGGGGGGGGGGCGGGGCAGAAGTGCCCTTTTAGTTGTAAAATACTACGTGATAAATCACATTTCCATTTTCCAGTGATGCTTTTTCTGGGAAAATCATAAGATTCAGGTAATTTATAGGCCCAGAGAAAGTAATTAACAAAAAAAAATTGTGAATTTGGTAAAGAATGAGTTTAATTTACAAAAATTTTAGAAAAGTTTTAGAATTTAAAAAAATTTTTTAACTTAACGGAAAATTTTGGTATATCCGGAAAAAATTTTTGACCCCTAAAATGGTACACTAACCAAAAATTTTTTGGTGACGGGGGGGAGGTGCCCTTGGTGTGTGTCTGTCTCCCTTTGCCTTATTACCGTTTCGGCGTCCCTGGTTAAACATTAAGTCAAATGCTTCAAAACTTAGAATTTACCAATGCAACATTCCCACTGTGAAAGTTTGATAGTCAACCAAACAAGTGTACCAACCTAGAATCAATTCTTTAATAAAATCAATCTCTTCTCTGCCCAAACCAAACTCTTCAAAACTTTCAGCCAGGCCAGGATTTGATGCCATCATAAACTCAAACAGATCACAGGACGCCTGCTCATGTTTCCATTGGAAACCAGGTTTCGCACGTGGGATATATACACCATCAAAGAAATGTGAGAACGGTCCATGTCCCAAGTCGTGACACAAGCCAGCAATTTTTACACAGAGTGATTCTGGCTCGGTAATTTCAATTTTACCACGGTGCTGGTCACACAGGGTGTCGATTAGTTTGCCACAGAGATGTGCTGTACCAAGACAGTGTTCAAACCTACATGTGTTTAATTAAAATGATGCATAAGATTTTTCTGCCCCACGCTGCTAACTTCATGACGAAGGGCCTTTGCTCGAAACGTCAGAGTTCTCCTTGTATTTTTCAGGTAGTTGTATCCCTATCAATCTGTATTTAACTGATATGGACTGTCATAGCAACGGAGCCTGCCCCCCCCCCCCCCCCCCTGCAAACTTAACCTGTTGGCAAAAATGACTGTGACCAACCAATTTATTGGCTGACCTGTTATGGGAAGCACCAGGGAAAACCCAGTAACAGATGCCCAATTGCTTGATATCTTTCAAACGTTGAAACTGAGGAGTATGGATAATCTTAACCAGTAGAGGGTGAACTTTAATAAATCCATGAATTGGATCATTGAATATTTGATATGGGACATCCGCAGCATTGTCACTTGGTGTTTGGTTTCTGCTTTTCACCATTTTCCTATCAGGACTGTCAAATTGTGAAAATGAACGTTTCTTTGGTGGTTCTGATGATGTATCCATGAGTTCCATACCTATAAATTTGGGAAAATTTAACAGCGAATTATTGTACATATCAGCAGTCATACCTATGTTGGCGGTCAAATGTGCACTTGGCCGTATACCTGTGGGCGTATTGAGGGTGCATTGCAACTTAATGGGTTAATATTAATATCTCAACATTAATGTCATCACAAATTATCCCATACACCTATGACTGGCCCATATCTTTGATATTTGGTGTCGTTTAATAGTGAAAATGAGACCATTGAACCCCACTTCCTGAAATTTATGAGCAAGTGCCCAGCTGAGCTTATAACTCACATACCTTTTTCACAAAAATAAAATCTTAAAAGGCTGAAACTTTTTGTATTGAAACGTGGTGATTTGTAATTTATAAATGTCAAGGTCAAGTCACAAGTGTCGTCTGGATAAATGACTTCCGGTTTATAAATAGGGTACATATCCCCGGGATCATATGTACCGACGCATGCGCAGTTAGTGCGAATGGGGACTTAGCTTTTTTGAGGCGAAGCATTCTTTGTGAAGCAAACGACAAGGTTGGCACTTAGAAAAATTTTGAGTGATTTTTACTATTCAACTCTATACTAAACAGGCTGCTTTACGTTTGACTTACAGCAATTTGAAGGTAATACACAGAAAGCATATAGAGTCGGGATTATCAGACAAATATTACAGTGGATTTTAAGTTTTTTAACTGATTTGAATTCTCATTTATCGCAGATATAAAGTGTTCAGCCGCGGTGTATATACACTGTATTGGGAGACGATTTTTGAGGTGTTGAAAATTCAAGTCTTTCTCGGTAAGGTAAGCAGCGTCAATCCTAGTGTACATTTAAACTTAAATCGGCTTATAAAGCAAAGTATACACCGTAGCCAGTGAATAAATGGGAATTTGGGGGGTAATTTTGTACTAAAATCCGGCATTAACGAAGGAGTTTGTCGTTATTTTATAGAAATGGAGACGAACGACTCGGCGGCGACGCATTTGGCTGGCGAAAGGCTGGGTAAATATGAATTAGATTTGCAAAAATCTGTACTTTTTGCTTTGATATATTAAAAACATAGATCCGAAATAGCCAAATTTGGCAATATAAAAGCAATTCGGTAGATATAATCTGATAAAATGGGAGAGAAGTGTCTCATAAATTGTAATGAATTTGAAGAGAAATATCCGACTCTCGTTAGCCGGCTTCAACTCGCTTCACGAAACGCTCCATCAGATTAGCAGATTCTGAAGACTCTAGGACATTTGAACTCTATTTATTTCATTCAGCGAACTGCGTGTTGTGTAAACCGCCGCCAAAACAGCCGTAAGCCGGTATTGAATTCTCGTTTGTAAGAAACCATTTAGGGCCCTTCGCCAAAACCAACAATGGACTGTTTCAAATGTTATTAACGGGTAACGCTGGTCATCAAACAATAGATCTCTTTTGAGAAGCACTAGGGAGCACATTTTTCTTTAGTTGCATTCGTTTGCTTTAGGTTTTTACGTGAAACAATGATGAATAGAAAATAGTAAACCTTCGCGAAGGCTGCCATGTTTTCTTTGAGAAAATCATGTTGCGAAATTTTCAAATTTTTATTTTACCCCCACTCCTCCCCTATACGGTTGGAGCAAACTACTTACGCAGGGCGGGGTAAGTATTTCAATATTATGCCACGCGTGACGTCCACGTCACGTCACGTCATATGATAATATTATATTTGCAAGAAGAAATGATTTCTGGAAAAAATAAAAATGTTTAATGGACCTATTACCTAATGATCAAAATTTTGATCTACAAAAATTTCATCACAGCTTGAAAGAGCATCACAAAATTAGTAATATTCTGAAGTTTGGTTGCGAAATGTTGTAAAATGCAGATAATGCAGCCCAGCGAAGTTTGCCGTTTTTTAGTCGTTTTGTATTATGCACGGGAAATTGATACCGCTTTCTGAAAAAAGCCGCAATCTGTCGCACAATAGTGGTTAATGAAACACACCAGTTGCTGTCACTGAAATCACATTTTTAACCCCTCAAAATACCCCTAATCTCTCTCCCCAATTTTATACACCCCTCTCCCAATTTACCCCCAAAACTGATTAACTCTCAATTATTCCTCCCCAAATATTTCCAACAATTCCACCCCACTTTGCCCCCACCTAACTTTACTAATATAATTTCTTTCCCCCTGTTTATATCAATTATCCCCCTCTTCCCAATTATACACCCCCCAATTATTTCCCTTCCCACTTGATACCGGCAGATACCCCTTCAAGTATTTCCTATTTTCCTCCATCAGAACACCCTCACAAGAAGAGAATAAAATTGGACAGATCTGGACTGGAGTTAAACGTAAGTTAAGTTATCACAAAATGATCTTTTCACAACAATGAATTTCTTCATCATACAGTTGAGAATTACAATTTTGACTTGTTTTATTTAGCTTTCAAAGCCAAATACAGTGAGGTATGTTTCATTGATTCATTTCCAAAAACACAACGGGGAAAAACGCAATACGTTGTATGGAAAATAATATTGATATTATTCCTTTAGTAATGGTGTAAAAATTGAGATGAAATCTCCCAAGAAAGATGAGAAACATCGGGGTGAAATTAACAATGTCAAAGCTTCTTCGGAGTCACATCAAAAAGTAAGTCACGTTAGTTTTGGTTTTGTGACGTTGGTTAAAGAGAGTTTGCAGCCATTGCAAGCTCTAGATTATAACAAAATAAAGGTTTTTGAAACCATGAGTGTTCCAACTATGTTTTAACTTAAATAGAATACATGATAGTGTTGGGAAAGCATTAAGAACAGCTAACCATGATCGCGTGACTGTCTTGACTCTTAGTGACTGGGAATGTTTCAATTTGGAAATTGAAGAATCTGGAACTTAGAAATTCCGGAAAAAATCTCATTGTATGATGACTGATTTTGAAAGTCTTGTTTATGTAGCATTTATTGAAACGTCCTGCTGTTGAGAGTGATGATGATGATGTTCCGTTGGTAATTATTCACTTCCTATCTTAATACGCCCAAAGGCCCAGACACATCAGACTCGATTCCGGACAACGCGACGCGATTTTTCGATTTTCACTGACGGATAACTTTGATCCTGGTCTAAGTTTTCTAAATATTTAGAAGCGCTAGAACATTTTGAGTTATTTGGTCCACATATCTTTTAAATTTCTTTTCATTGGCTGTTTTATTAACTTTCAAAAACTGAAAAATCGCGCCGCGTTGTCGAATCGCGTATTTAAAACACGAGCATGCAGGAGTGTTTTTATCAGATATAAAACACGAGGTGTCTAAATGTGATATAGCACAGACTACAAGTGTTTTAAATGGCTTAAAAAACGACCCATCTTATGAGTTCATTGGCGAAGTAATTTTAAAAATAAACTTGCCTAAGCCGAGAAAATCAATGCTAAAGTTTACGTAAATGAAAATGATTTTTTATCACATATAAAACCACCGATTCGGTAGCGATTTCCTTTGTCATTTATTCATTTTGAGTTTTTCAAATTTTTTTAAAAAAACATGGCAGCCCATCATTAAATTGATAATGTAATAACTATAATTTCCTTTCTACTATAATCTTCTTTTTTTCACAGGTTGCAAGGTCAAAAATAAAGTGAGTCTTATATCCGATATTTACGTCGTATTTGACCATCATGTTAATTTACACTTTGTAAATTTTAAAATGTAATATTTCTTTTTCTTAGACATTCGTCAGAAAATTCACTGAAATCCCCGACGAAAAATTCTCCGAACGACGTAAAGAAAATTAAGAAAATCAAGCACGAAAGCAATTCGAGTGGGTCCCCCAAGCTTGAAAAAGCGAAGAAACCTTCAAACAGTGATGGAATTAAGAAAATCAAATCAGAAAGTGGCTCAACTACACCGAACAAATCGGATGGTGTTAAAAAAATTAAACCTGATTCGGGATCCACTAAAAGTGACGGAAAAGTTAAACTCGATTCTCCTAAAGTTGACAATGTGAAAAAAGTGAAGTCGGACAGTTCTAAAACTGATGGCATTAAGAAAATAAAATCTGAGTCTGGATTAACAAGTCCTAGTAAAAGTAGTGACGTTAAAAAAAATAAAAGCGAAAGTAGTTCTTCTCTTAAAAGTGACGGCGTGAAAAAAATAAAACATGAAGTTGAAGCGTCTTTAAAAATAAAATCTGATCACGTTTCAAAAACTCCTGACGCTAAGAAGAACAAGGATTTGCTGTCGCCTAAATCTGATGGTATTAGAAAGGAAAAACACTCCAGTAGTTCCCCAGCAAAGGTCGATGGCAGTAAAAAAGAAGGAAGTTCTATTAAAAGTGAAAAAGATAAACACAAAACTGTCCATAGTAAAGAAAGCGGGCTTAAAACGCCAAAAACAGACGGAATTAAGAAAGAGAAACATAAAACCAGTTCTTCTAAATCCGAAGGGGTGTCTAAAAGTGATAAGACTAGTGGGTTAACCTCTCCTAAGGTGGATGGGGTGAAGAAGGCTAAAGGTAGTTCAGAGTCTGCTAAAGGGGAAACGATAAAGAAGAGTAAATCTGAGAGTACGACTAAAGCGAAGGTAGAAGGAGTCAAGAAAGTTAAAACAGAAAATGGCGGGAAAGAAAAAACAACGACGGATGAAAGTGATGCCGATGATGTCCCGTTGGTGTGTTCTCAAACATTTGTATTCCCTGGGATAGACAAATAGTCGAGCACGCAAGCTTCGGTTGTTCGAAGCTGTTTTAGATTTAAATTTTAACCCGCTGGTTTGGTTATTCGTTTATTTCAGAACTTTAAAAAATAATATTTCCATTGATCTAGACAATAAGAAAATTATTTTCTCCAGCCCTATTCATTTGATCTTTTGTATATGTTGGATTTTCTTGTTAGTTTTTTGTTTACAGTCAGGCGTTAATGACAATTATAATTTCTCACTAATTCTTGATCTTTCTCTTTTTATGGTGCACGGAAAAATAGGCTGCCAGGTTAGTGTCCAAGCTCATTAAGTGCAAAGAGAGGATACATGTATATTCCATATTTCTACTATATTGCAATGTATTCTGTTTTATTCTATTGTATTTTATTATTCTATTGTTGTGTTGTATTGTATTGTATTCTATTGTTCTATTCTATTCTATTGTATTCTATTATTGTATTCTATTGTTCTATTCTATTTTATTGTTCTATTCTATTGTATTCCATTGTTCCATTGTATTCTATTCTATTTCATTGTTCTATTGTACTGTATTCTATTGTTCTATTGTATTCCATTGTATTCTATTCTATTTCATTGTTCTATTGTACTGTATTCTATTATTCTATTGTATTCATTCCATTGTTTTATATGTATTCTATTTTATTCTATTTTATTCTATTTTGTTATATTGTAGTCTATTTTATTATTTTGTTTGAATTGTATTGATATTGTGTTTCCCCCTACATCGTAGAGCTAAAGTCAAGACAGAATCAAACAAAACATCACCAAGTAAACAACGCAAGAGGAAAGGCTCCGACAATGATGACGACGATTATAAACCTTTGGTAGGACTTGTTTTAGACGTATATAGTGCAGACTAAATACAGTCATTGGCAGCTTTATAGTCTGTATTTTTACTGACTTGATTTTAAACATGATAGAAAAAATTGAAAAAGAAATCTGATGTTGGCGGCAAAGACGCGAAGAAAGAGAAAACGAAAAGCAAAGAAAAAGAGAAACCGAAGAAGGGAAAAGATGGTGAAAAGACGGAAAAAGGAAAGGAGGTATTGAACTATAACTTTATGGTCCATCAGTTTAGTAAACTGTTCGTCGTAGAGATCAATAATAGTCCATCAGTTTAGTAAACTGTTGTTCGTGGAGGTCAGTAATCCCATATTGATCTAGTGGTATTAAGGGGTTTAAGCTTTACGTTTGAAAGCGAAGACAAACGGCAGAGTCGAATTTTCTTGGCAGAATTTTCATTTAACTTCTTCGCTTCATAGTTTCATTCGTATGTCAAAAAAGTTTTAAAATATCATGTTCGTTTACTCTTTATTGCCTCATAGCGTAATGTTTTCTTTGCCCTTTCTTGGGTCTAACCTGGTCTGCGGTAACCATATGTCTTGGGCCCGGTCTAACCTGGACACACCAGTCTGAGTCTTATTTTTTCTCCACAGGAAAAGAAAGGAAAGGAAAAGAAAGAGGAGGAAGTATGGAAATGGTGAGAGATACTATCAGATTTTTTGTTGTTGGAATCTTTTGACGTTTGGTAGATTTTGGAAACCTTTGTATCACCCTCCATTGTATCACCCTCCTTGCTTTGCCAAATGTGGTGCAAGTATTAAGGTTCTTCACTTTTACATCTTTAGGTGGGAGGAAGAAAAACTTCCAGAGGGAGTGAAGTGGTTAACACTGGAACACAAGGGTCCATACTTTCCACCAGAATATGAACCCTTGCCTGGCAGTGTTAACTTTTATTATAACGGTAAGATGTGTTTCACGTTTGTTTCGACTCCGTGATAATCAGTTCGTTTTATAACTGTTGCGCTTGAAAATTTTGAACACCTTAAAATACCGGGTAAAAAACCTAAGATAGTGAATGTATGGTAGTTTATGCTGTATGTAAAACAATAAAACATTCAAAATTTAAAATTGTTCAAAAATTTTTAGGGTTAACTACCTTCAGTTCTTTGTCGGTTTGCATGGCGATAATAATATTTTTTTTCGTTGTGGAACCACCACGTATAAATATGTACAATAATGATTCCACGTGGACGAAACAGGCTTACTATAATATATGATTCCTTACTATTTCGTGAACCAAAACATACTGGTATAGTAATAAATGTACGTTGTGTTTCTATGAACAAAAAACCTTCATGAAAATATTATTCCTTATTTTTTTCTCAGGTGAAAAAGTGAAGCTGAGTGTTAAAAGTGAAGAGGTGAGAGAAATATTGATGGCAGTTGCAACAATTTTATCTTAAGGCAAATTTGAGCTCGCATCAGGGATTAGCTCTGTCCAGACTTGTCACAACAACTGGGAACAAGCAGTGCGAACACATCCTGATGTCGGCTTGACAACAACCTTGTTTCCAGTTCTGTAACAACTTGCGCGTTTTTACATGTAAAAAATTGTAGAATTTGTAAAAAAATGTTTGAGGAAACTGACTCAGTCTCCTTTCCTCAAACATTTCGTAGAAATCTTTCAAAACGTAGAATTTATGTAGCTATGCAAAATTCCTACTGTAATCACAGAAACTTTGATAGTGTAAACTAGGCTTAAGTCTAAGTTCTCTCCAGTTTTCAAATCGATCATTAATCTTCTATGTAATTCCATGTTAAGGTGGCTGGGTTCTATGCCAAAATGTTGGACCACGACTACGCATCGAAGAAGATCTTCAACGACAACTTTTTTCAAGACTGGAGGAAGGAAATGACGGACGAAGAACGAGCGTTAATCAAACATTTATCAAAATGTGATTTTAAAGAATTTCATGCTTATTATGTTCAGGTAATAATCGTAACTATCTGTTCTTGTGCAGGATAGCTCTATCAGTTCTAAACTGTTCTCCCTAGAGGTCCAGTAAGGATCATCTCTTATTGATCCAATGTTACTACAGGAGGAAACCTAAACTAAACTAACTTTATTTATACTGGATAGCTCTATCAGTTCTAAACTGTTCTCCCTAGAGGTCCAGTAAGGATTATTTCTTATTGATCCAGTGTTACTACAGGAGGAAACCTAAACTAAACTAACTTTATTTATACTGGATAGCTCTATCAGTTCTAAACTGTTCTCCCTAGAGGTCCAGTAAGGATTATTTCTTATTGATCCAGTGTTACTACAGGAGGAAACCTAAACTAAACTAAAAAGACTTGTTCCAACAACTTGTTATCGTCCTGCAATTCAACTATTCGAAGTTGCGAGTGACAACTTTGTAGCAACTTGATAAAATAACAGCATTGTTTCAACTTGTTGACAAGCTTGCTACAAGCCTGTTGCGAACACATCTTGTTGACAAGTTGTGAGATTTTTACGTAATTACACCACTAGTCTTACACGTCTTTCTAACTTTAGAAAAACGAGGAACGCAAAAACATGACAAAAGAGCAAAAGCTTGTTATTAAAGAGAAGAACGAAGCGATCTTACAGGAATATGGCTACTGTATGATGGATGGACATAAGGAGAGGGTGGGGAACTTTAAGATTGAACCCCCGGGTTTGTTCAGAGGGCGAGGGGACCATCCCAAGCAAGGAAAGTTAAAGAGAAGACTTACTGCAAAGGATATCATTATCAATATTGGCAAGTAAGTAGATACTCTGCTGTTTTTAAGGCGCTGTCCAGCTAGCCGAGTGAATCGTGTGACGAAATTTTTTCCTGATCATTGAATGAACTTTATATTGTTACTGGAATCAAACGAATTTCAAATTTGAATGCAACAATTTTCCGACTCGTTCATGAGTGTGTGTGTGTGTGTGGGGGGGGGGTCCACCTAGCGCCGTCCTTGACAATTCGGTTTTCTTTAGAGACGCAAAGGTGCCTGACCCTCCCGAAGGACAGAGATGGAAAGCTACACAACACGACAACAAGGTTTGTCAAGTAATTGTAGATTGAGTTTTGTAGATGACTTGGATGGAATATTGACAGAATATTCCAACACAAATTTATATACATTTTTGGACGTAACCAGGAACAGTTGCGAAAAATGATTTACACAGTACAACTCAAGTTGTAAGCAGGTTGCATGCGACAGTTTTAGGCAAAAGTTCTGTAGCGTAAATCTGACTAAAAGAATGATATATTATTTTAGGTGACGTGGTTAGCTTGTTGGATTGAAAATATTCAAGGCAGTTATAAATACGTCATGTTGAACCCAACCTCTCGAATCAAGGTAGGAATTGTAAAGTAAAATGTTTACTTGAAAAAGAATTTTTTTCTATTTATTCAAGATGTTCACGGTGACAATTCTGTAAAAAGTTTACTGTCAGTGTTGTTTTGTGTAGGGTGAAAAAGATTGGCAGAAATACGAAACTGCCCGAAAGTTGAAGGTATGTAGTCTTAAATTTCTAACCTGATTAATGGAACAAGTTGTTATCATCTTGTAACAAGGTTGATGAGGCCAACAGACTCGCAACAAGTTGTTCCAACAAGTCTGATATCGTCTGCATGTAACAAGTTGTTAACAAGTTGACGACAACAAGCTCGTAGCAATTTGTTGCGAACAGCCTGTATTAGTCTTGTTGGAACAACTTGTAGCAAGTCTGTTGCCATCATCAACCTTGTAACAAGGTGATAACAACTTGTTCTACACTTTGTCACAACAACTGGGAACAAGCAGTGCGAATATATCCTGATATCGGCTTGACAACAGCCTTGTTACAACTTTGTTTGGGGTTTCGTAACTATTTGCGCGTTTATTCGTGTCTACAATTTTTTCGTGTCAACATATTTTAATTTTTTTAGAACAAAATCGGTGAAATTCGCCGGGGTTATACAAACGACTGGAAGTCAAAGGAGATGCGAATAAGACAAAGGTGAGAAAAATTGTTATGCTGTAGGTAGATATTCGGTGGGAAGAATGGATCTAACAAGTCTATTTCTTTACAGGGGCGTGGCATTGTATTTCATAGATAAGGTATGTATTCGTTTAGAAAATTTGAGTTACAGCCGGGGAGCATATGGTGTTCAGCTTCGGAAATTTTAACACTTATAGGACAAGCGAGTTAAACTATATCTCAATTTTATTTATTTGCTTCCAAGTACAAGACTACTACTTCATATAATGAAAAGTGAAATCCTCCTATACGACTAATGCTTGATGTACATAAATATTATATACTCTGGGTTGTTGCGATGTATCAATTATTTTCATGACTGATATATTTGTAGCTCGCTCTTCGTGCTGGTCATGAAAAAGATGAAGATACCGCTGACACTGTTGGTTGCTGTTCTTTAAGATATGAACATATTAGTAAGTTTGTTGTTGTTGCTGTTGTTCTTGTGGTGACAGTGAAGATGGTAATAATGATGGTGTTGTTGCTGCTGTTGTTGTTGTTGTTCTTGTGGTGACAATGAAGATGGTAATAATGATGGTGCAGTGTTTCTGTTGTTGCTGTTGTTGTTGCTGTTGTTGCTGTTGTTGCTGTTGTTGTTGCTGTTGCAGTTGCTGTTGCTGTTGCAGTTGCTGTTGTTGTTGCTGGTGTTGTTGTTCTTGTTGTTGCTGGTGTTGTAGTTGTTGTTGCTGTTTCTATAACTGTTGTTGATGATGATCTCCGTTTAATCTTGTTTTTGTATCTCCCAGAACTCCATAAACAATTAGACGGCAAAGAATACGTGGTAGAATTCGATTTTCTTGGAAAAGATTCGATTCAGTATCACAATATTGTTCAGGTTGAGAAACGGGTGAGTTGCAACTTACAACTAAAAAAGAAACAATTAAACTGGGCGACAAATGAGCAATCTTGTTTATTTCTCTGCTCTCTATTTCAGGTTTTTAAGAACTTAGAATTATTTAAGCAAGGAAAGTCTGACGGAGATGATCTGTTTGATCGCCTGTCGGTAAGAATTACATTTTGAATTTAACTTTTGTGTCATTAACGTTTGTGCTTATAACATATTGGATAGCTCTATCAGTTCTAAATTGTTCTTCCTAGAGGTCCAGTAAGAGCGATTCTTTATTGATCCAGTGTTACTACATGAGGAAACATAAAGTAACTTTACTTATACTGGATAGCTCTATCAGTTCTCAACTGTTCTTTCTAGAGGTCCAGTAAGGATCATCCCTTATTGATCCAGTGTTCTTAACCTTGTTTTCTTGTATTTTTAGACAACATCTTTGAATAAATACCTCTCAGAGTTAATGGAAGGCCTCAGCGCGAAGGTGTTCCGTACATATAACGCCTCCATGACATTACAAGATCAGTTGAATAAACTGGAAGTCGAAGATAATGTCGCGGCTAATGTACTGGGATATAACCGAGCTAACAGAGCTGTCGCTATTTTATGTAACCATCAGGTGAGTTTTGGGGGGAAGGTGAAAGGTGGTATTTAGGAGGGGAAGAAAAGAGGAAAGGAAGGCCCTTGGGCGATGAGAATCATAGGAAGGGATAGAGGAAGAAGAAATGAAGAATGGCGAGAGGAAGGAAGAGTGAATCATGGGAAGGGCTACAAAACCTAAAATAATTCAAATCTATTGTAATTTTTTTAGCGTTCAGCACCTAAAACGTTTGAACAATCCATGTCAAATCTTCAACAAAAGGTGGGCAGACATTCCTAGAATGTTGTGATTATTAGCGATTAAATAGTAATGTTGTGTTGTCGTCCTATCATTGACTCTGACTGTTGTTTATGTCCATGTTTTCCTTTACCCAGATTGATGACAAAAAGAAGGCTATTAAAGACGCAAAAAATGAACTGAAAGATCTGAAACACGAGTCTAAAGGAAGCGATTCAGTCACCTTAGCAAGGTACTACAACAAACATGCTTTCTGCCAGGTTTCGTAGATGGAAATTTATACATTGATTAGAGCTAATTAGAAACTGCAGGTCCTTTGGCAGTGGCGTGACGCTCATTGGGTAGGGTTAGTTCAAAAACTAAGGCCTCCCGACAGTTAGGGGCCCCCATCAGTCACGACCTATCGCCCAGAAAATTAGAAAATGTAAAAAATGCAGGTTAAGAATAAATGGGAAGATTCTAGAACATCAGTCTATAAATATTCAATATCAATATAATATCTCAGTCAAACAATGACAACAGTCAACAGGGGCCCCCACACCAAGGGGCCCCTCTTCCCCCGTTATGCCACTGCCCTCTCGCAGGAATCGAACCTACGGCCCTGTGATTCCGGTGCAGCGCTCTAAAGCTGGAGTAATACGAGCAACAAAATTGCTGCAACTTGCAACAAAATCTGATTTCAACGCATGTTAAGTAGAAATGTCAGTCGACACATGTTGCCTCGTGATTTGTAATGTATGTGTAAACATTTTCAATTAACATGCGTAGAAATCAGATTTTGTTGCAAGTTGCAGCAATTTTGTTGCCCGTATTACTCCAGCTTAAGCAACTCGGCTACAGAGGCCAGTTGTCGAGCTCTACCCTCAAGTTCATGTCTATATATCCTAAGGCGATGCCAATGTGAGATGTATGGGTAATTATCAAAATGTGAAGAATGAAAAGTTTTTGTAATTCGATTTTTTTCTCTCCAGGAAACTCGAAAAGAAGAAGTCATCAATAGACAGACTACAGGAACAATTATTTAAACTTGAAGTCTCACAGACTGACAAGGTATTTTAGTTGTTATAGATTTTCATTGTCGTTTTAGAATACGTTCTTTATTTCCTCCTCTTATTTTTTGTGTAGAATGAAAATAAGGAAATCGCGCTTGGGACGTCAAAGTTAAACTACCTTGATCCAAGGATATCAATTGCTTGGTAAGATATTCCTTCGTTGTTTTTCAATAACAATTCGCTCGTTTCATTTGACGTCGCATCCACTCAAGTGGGGGTCAAGGATCTGTGTCAAGGACGTCTTTTAATATTGTGATATATAGGCTTTTATAATAGTCGGAGAATTCATTTCTCTGACAGCCATTTAACGTTTACACTATCAAAGTTTCTGTGATCACAGTCTCAAACATTTCTTACAAATCCTTCAAAAGTTAGAATTTAACTATAAAAATTCCTACTGTGATCACACAAACTTTGATAGTGTAAACACCAGTCTTGAAATTATGCTAAAACATCTGTTCTCCCTGAAGATCCGGTACAGAGCATCTCTTATATTGGTCCATAAAAAATCCCGACTGTATCAATTATAAACAATTCGTTGCAGGTGTCTCAAGAATGATGTTCCTATAGAAAAGATCTATAATAAAACACAACGTCAAAAATTCGCCTGGGCTATCGACATGACTGAAGAAGATTTCGTGTTTTAATGCAGCTTGGCTATGTTTTAACTGTTTTAAGATCTTATCAGGTTTTATAATAACTATGCTTCAAATTTGGGGGGCGTTTAGCTTTAGTGCTAAATGGCGAGGAACAATTTATTTTATTCGAAATGTACAATTTATTGCCTAATATTGTTCTTATAACTTATAAATTGAAACTTGAAGAAATGTATCAACGCTTATTCTTAAGGCAGATTTACACTACATAACTTTTGCCTGGAACTGTCGCATGCAACCTGCTTACAACTTGAGTTGTACTGTGTAAATCAAGCACACAACTCGCTTAAGTTGTCGTAGATGAGTTGTGTGCTTGATTTACACAGACAGTACAACTCAAGTTGTAAGCAGGTTGTATGTTTTCCTCAACTTATAAATCTCAAGGATAAGGCTATTTCTGGTTTGTAATCAAGACTACACACTGACACGTGAAAACGCGAAAGATCTTCCAGATCTTCAAACAAGGTTGTTGTGAAGCCGATATCAGGATGTGTTCGCACTGCTTGTTCCCAGTTGTTGTGACAAGTCTGGAACAAGTTGTTATCACCTTGTTACAAGGTTGATGACGGTAACAGACTTGCTACAAGTTGTTCCAACAAGACTAATACAGGCTGTTCGTAACAAGTTGCTACGAGCTTGTTGTCATCAACTTGTTAACAACTTGTTACGTGCAGACGATATCAGACTTGTTGGAACAACTTGTTGCGAGTCTGTTGGCCTCATCAACCTTGTTACAAGATGATAACAACTTGTTCCAGACTTGTCAACACCTGGGACACATCTTGTTGATAAGCTGGGAGATTTTCACGCGTGTACAATAAGAATGATACAGTAAACAAGCGGAAAGCTTTGATCATTCTCAGTTCTTCAAAACGTGAGTTTGCTCATGAAGTATGACATCATTACCACAATTCCCCGCCCACCCCCCGGTTCTGTGATATAAACAAACATGGCGCTTTCATTTTGCCAAAGTGAAAAACATTGAAGAATAGTTTCTCTGCAATCATGTGAGGTCCAGGAGCTTCGACACTTAAAGCAGAGGTAAGGTAAAAGAATATACCGCCTTAAGACTGTGTAGTTTTGTACTTCGAATGGCTGATATTGTACTTTTTCTTAGGAAAAAATTCAAAAAATCTGCATGTGTATAATTAACAAATTACATAAATAACTCTTTATATTCATTGAATATTAACTAGCTAATATGTCTTCTGTGGCTAATTTTTCCTTCGTGCCTTCCCGCATGTTTCAGGTGAAACCCTCTGGTTATTACTTAAGTCAATTCTATTAATTCAATGTCGTTGGTTGGTCGGAAGGCAGGCGAGAAGTTTTGGGGTTTTTTATGTTTATACGCCTTTGGAAGGCTGTTGCCATTAAATTGGTTTATATCGTAAACATCGGAAATGGAATATAACAAGGACAGTCATAAAACTATCCTTAAAAAGCAAAAATCGTTGCCTCTGACAAAGAGTAAGAATGTACACTTCGCTGATGTATGTGGTCTTAGTCTTGTGTCGGTGCATAAAATCTCCATGGACGATCTAACTGTGCCCTCGAATTCAGATCTGAAAAACGAGATTACGAAAGAGCTAATCCTTGCATTTGCACAGCCGATTGCATTGGGTAATTTTGTAGAGCGTTTGAAAAGGCTTAGCGTCTCGTTGGAAAATGTATTGGTGTCAAATTGTGCTATAATGGGCACGATAAAAGTTCGAAACATTGCCTATGAAAAAAATGTATTCGTTCGATGTACTTTTGATAGCTGGAAAACCTTTGAAGATAGTAACGGCAGTTACGTACCATTGTCATATGATGGTAACTACGATCGTTTCTCGTTCGCGCTGACGGTACCAAGCACCATCAAGCATGGTGATAAAGTCGAGTTTGCAATATGCTACAAAACGGTCTCACCTGACAATGAACTCTGGGATAACAATGACGGCAAGAATTATGTTATTGAATGTAAAGAGAAATGCATGGCCAGGAATCCTTCCTATAGCTTGCTGTGGAACCATGTTATACCCAATTATAGAAGATAACGGTTCTTCCAAGATTAATAATGAGGCAATTAGACCAAATAAAAAAATACTTGGTTACCGTCATTGCCTGCCTGTCTATTTTTGGCACCTCTGAAATCTTTTTATGTAAATCTCTTTGTTGAAACAAGGTTCTTATATCAAAATGGCAGCCTTCGCAACATCAGTACAAAAAATATCACCGATATAGTGGAAAAACCACCCTCTTCCCCCCAAAAAATACTATTAAAAAATTTAAAAAATGAGTAAAAATTTTTAAAAAAAGCCCTCCCAGCTCTGAAAATTTGTGAAAGTGTGATGCTAACCAAGTATTTTTTTTATTTGGTCTTACATTAGAAAGTATAGCTAGTAGAACATCCAAAGGGGATGTAAACTATCGGAAAGAGCTGTGACCAAAATAATGCAGATTAAATAGCCATTATACTGGCAATGAAAATATTTAGGGAAAACATTGCAAGGCAATTGGCAAATAACAGGTTAACCATAGACAGATTTTGCTCTGGGGGTGTTGCAAATTCAGGGGGGGGGGGGAGATGAGCGTGGGGCATGTAGTGCTGTCAAGCAAGTTACAGCAGATATCTGGGGGCACAGTTGCTAGTGGGGTAAGAGGGTGATTTTTATCTTAGTTCAAAATCCTTGTTTCTATCATACTGCTGTCATTTAACCCAACAAGCATATAAATTTCTAGGGGGGTGCAAATTGTTGTGTGGCAGGAAAACTGTCTAGGAAGGTGCAATATATTTTGGGGGTGCACCCCCAGAAAATATGTCTGCGAGGTTAATAAATTTCTTGGTTGTAAAATAGTCGGGATACAATACGTGTTAAATATTTTTTTACTGACAATATGAATTTATATAAATGTATGTGCGTTTACATTAAATTGTGAGATATAGCTAATTCTAATAAAGCTACATACAGTACTTATACAGTTAACTTTCAAAGGTATATAACTTTAGATATTTAATTTCAATAATTTAATATTGTTTAATAATTAGGAATATGTGCCAACAATGCTTTACTATTACCCATTTTTCATCGATCATTCACGATTAAATCCTTAGGCTCAGTTTCACGGACTGGACTACAGCATGCTTCCCCTACCAGCGGGGTGCATGCTGTAGGCTTGCTCCTTGTAGCCTGCCGAGGACAGGACTTGACTGAGCCTCATTTTCTGATTCAATTATTATGATCAACGAGCAGGGCGACATAGCCAGAAGAATTGATTGACCGACATATAGTGCCAATTTTTTTATTGTTAAAAGCATTGCCAATAAAGGCAATATTCACAGGGAAAAAATTTAACTTTCGATTAATGGGTTTTTGAATGTAAAAAATGAACTCTTATCATTATTGGTTATTATAGATTTCCCGTATGGTAAATTAGTAAAAACCATGTTGTTTAATATTACCATATTAATGGTACTTTATTAGGAAAATACCATTAATTAATACCAAATGGGAAATCTATAATAACCAATAATGGTAAGGGTTTTTACATTGATAGTATACATGGTAAACCATTACAAAACCCATTAATGGAATTTAAATTTTTTTCTTGGGATTTAATTTTTTTCTTGGATTGTATTTGTAATTTGTTTAAGAACTTGTTAATAATTATTAGATAAACGGTGTTTGCCGTGTCGAACGTTGCATTGTGGTCAACCATCAAATTGGCGTGATGCCCCTCTTTCCACAACAGCATTTCCACCCAACTTTGTTATCCATTTATTTCATTTTTTCTTTGTCCACTTCAAATCATCTGTCCTAGGTTCATACCCAGTCAGTTTTGTAATGCACCATTCTATTGTCGGCCAAAACCCAATCACCTCGAGAGGATAATTTAACCAACCTGTAGTTATACAGAAGTAAGTCTCGTGCGGCGCCACGTGATGGATACGGTGATGAGTCCTCGGTAGAATAATCTTGTAGTCTTGTAAGAACATCACCCATCGAGGCAACCCAAAGTATGTATGTGACCATTTGTGAATCTGATTAGTCAATGCGACAAAGATTGCTAATGCAAATATATACCAGTCCCAAGCACAACAGTCGCGCAGTGTGACTCTGTCGAAGGTTAAGTGCTTATAAACTACATAGGATAACGTTGGTAAAGTTATTAGACAGTTATCTCCATTAGTTTCAATGATATCGTGTCGTGTAAGAGCAGTCGGGTCCACGTGGTGCTCACGAAATGGCCTGATAAATGCCTGCAAAAAATATACATTAGGTCAAGGGAATTGAAACTTTCATTGTTGAATTTGTATTATTTTATAGGTAGGCAAGTGTTTCATTATGTATGTAAAATGATTAACTCATTGATTAACTGACTCGTTAACAGACTAATCGATTAGTAAACAGCGGTGCTTGAAGTAATGTTCCCAAAGTTCCTGATTATGGTGATCAGCAGTCATGAATTTCCCTGCTTTTTCAGGTTGGAAACCCTGCTTTTCTGCCAATCATAAGCAATTTCTTGCCGATCATTGATCGGCTGTAATTTCAAGCCCTGAACAGACTTATAATAATTTGCAGATTTACAAATTGTTAAAGTGACATATTGATCGTTATAATTCTTACCTGACCAATGACAGGAAAGTCGACAGAACCCCAACTGTCTGCCGCCCAGTGAACAACGCCTGACGCAAAATCTGCACTAAGAATTCCCAAAACTAAAACATAATATTTGAAAATATTTACCCCTTTTGACCACTTCTTTATAATTACTATATTTTATGTGAAGACATTACTGGATTCCATTCATATTACTTACACAAGCCAACCAGTATGTATTTGAGGTCATTAAGATGAAAGTTTAGTATGAGCGACAAGATAAGTACAAACATCAAAATGATATACGAGACAATGCTGCAGAATTCGAGCATTCTTTTTTCTACAAAAAGATATGTTTAGATTAGTATGCATCTAAGGATGTGATTTATAGATAGTTGCAGATAAAAAACATTGGCAGTCTATGGTTACGTAAAACCTTGACACTTGTAATAAGCATTTGAAGTTTTCAATATAAAGCTCAACCAATTCTGTGTTTTAGGCCCTCAAAAAACCTCACTTGCAGTTGGGAGCTGAAATATGAAGGACATAGCTCAATCTAATCCAGGCAAAAGCTGTCTAAAGTTTGGTTAAACGGCTGGTTAGGGGCTAATCCCAACCCACCTTGTCAATATTCTGTATGGGAGGAAATCCACAACTTTCAGTAGAGCGTTACTTGACCCTTTCAGGTTTTTTTGCAGGATTTTCTCTTGGGTCCGTTTTGCAGAGAAGATTGAG